TTTTTTGCAAAAATTTACACAGCTTTTTAAATCAAATTTCTTGTATACAAGCATCACATATCCATGCACTTTGTGTAAAAAAATTATTGACCTAGCTAAAAAAACTAAAGTCAGCAGGATTGGACAACGAATTTCGTGATCGTACCGACGACTCTTCCCCTTAAAGGAAGTTAGGGTTTCACTTGTTCAGAGCCCTCTTTGGCCTTTACTAATAGCCTATGTATTTCATAAATATGATGAGGATTTTTTACCCTAGCTTTACATCCCAATTAAGTTTCCATCCCATTGGTTTTATTTATTTATTTATTTATTTATTTATTTATTTATTTATTTATTTATTTATTTTATTAGTACTTACTGCAGTCCTAGGTAAAGCTTTTCCTAGGACTATATGCATCATAAACCTGTCCTACACTAACAAATATTATGTCCTTACAGCAACCTCTATTACCACACTGTTATCAATACCTCTTTTGCTGGGCCAGAACCTTTTGCCACTTCCTGGTTCACATTATTGCACCACTCAAATTAGCACTTTCATCACTACTAAGAACTGCAATACTTTGAAGATGCTAATCAATTAATCACTCCCATATGTGTAATTATTCTGTCCCCTGGAGTCAAATATCCCCACTCTCTCCTTCCACCTCTGGTACATGGATCATTACCTGCAATTAACATCTATCCTGATGACAATTAAGAAAGTCAGTAACACATGGTAATAATTTAACAAAATCGTAATAACTTCGTATAGCATACATTATACGAAGTTATACGACAATAGGGCACATCAGCAATGAGCTGTTAGGGTCATGGCTATTTGTTGTCATTAAAATCCTAATCCTCATAATTTTAAAACATTGCAGCAATTTGAAAATGCACAACAACAACTGCCATCATTACTGTCATAAGTTTCCTACCCTGCAGTAGATTTTGTTAAATTATTACCATGTACTGGCCATGTGCCAGTAGCGTAATAACTTCGTATAGCATACATTATACGAAGTTATACGATGTGTAATTATTCTGTCCCCTTTAGTCAAATATCCCCACTCTCTCCTTCCACCTCTGGTACATGGATCATTACCTGCAATTAACATCTATCCTGATGACAATTAAGAAAGTCAGTAACACATGGTAATAATTTAACAAAATCTACTGCAGGGTAGGAAACTTATGACAGTATTGATGGCAGTTGTTGTTGTGCATTTTCAAATTGCTGCAATGTTTTAAAATTATGAGGATTAGGATTTTAATGACAACAAATAGCCATGACCCTAACAGCTCATTGCTGATGTGCCCTATTGGCTGACACAGTAACTGTGCTGATCGGACTACTGGCAGATGGCCAGTACCAGAAAATATTTTTGCATAGTCTGTCATATTGAGGATTTGTAATTCAAACTAATTATTGGCTGCTTTCCAGCTTTCAACTTCAACATCATTTTTTAATAATTTTGCAGGACAAACAAGATGCCAACAACTATTCTTCGGAAGGTGTATCATTTGATTATAGTTCTGGTATTTACACCAGGCATCATGTTTGAACCAGCCATCACTCAACTGGCTGCTACAGCTGCACTGATGCTATGCTGGATATTAGAGGTATGAAAGTAAAATTTTTCAATATTTTGAAATCTCTCTCTCTCTCTCTCTCTCTCTCTC